CCCCCTTCATCCCCTACAGCTTTAAACTGTCACCCCAAACCTGATGGATTCAGCTTTTGTTCAGTCACTGTTTTATCACTAGAAATCTTAGAACAGAAAACTGTGAAAGAAATTCCCGAGTGTATGTGCATGGTGCAGCAGGCAGGGCTGGCGTGTGCGTTTGCACATTGTCTATAGGTCACCTTACCGGGGCAGGACTCAGCCTGCTCCCTGCTTTGATGGCATCCCATACCAGTTGGCATTGTCTCAGTCTCAAATAATTTTTCCTGGCAACCCTGGACAACAAAGAGTTAGTCAGGGCAGTGTCTTGCTGGCAGGGCTCACATAGGACCTAGCCAATCACTAAAGCTGAAAGTCCTAGCAAAACAGGCTGGAGGGAAATGTTGGAGGGACTTGTCATATAAGAGCAGGACATCTGCTCCACATGGATGCACCTGAACATCAACAGAGATTTAGTTAAAGTCACACAGCCTGTCATAATTTTGTCACAACATATAGCCTCATCTTTTTCAGTGTCAATCCAGTTAAAAAGGTAACCAAACACATCCTGATAAGTTTAGTTCAGTTTCCTGGTTGCCTACCTATCTGTTGGCAGATGGGGAAGGAAGGGGAGAGATTCAGAAATGCACTTACCCAGTTACGTGTGTATTGGTATGCACCTGTTTCAAGGAGAAGCCTCTGAGAGAAGTTCCTCTCAGAGAAGGGGGCTGAGAGTGTGATAGTAAAGTGATGTCTTGTTTCATTCTCTAGTTGGTAAACTTCCTAAGAAAGCTGACTTAATGAAGAAAATCTGTTGAAAGAGGCACTTAGACAATGAAATGTTAACAGGAATGAATAGTTAACAAGAATGGGTCAAATTTGGGCCTTCCTCTGGGCATCTCTGCCTCTGGGCATTTCCACTTCTTATTTCTGCCACCATCTGGTAAAGAAGGGCAGCCACTCTTCTACAAATGAGGAAAAATGTTTTACTTAGATCTCAGAAGGGCAAAAGCTCAACAGCTGCTGTGTAGGCTGGAATGGTGCTCATAAGAGACAAGCTGTGATGTGGGCAAAACACTTCTAGCCTTTTCTTCATTCTTTAGACTTTTTTTTCAGAGCTTTAAATAAATGTATAGATTTGTCTAGATTTATTTTCCAAACAGAGCGCTGTGCTGTCACAGTGCAATATACTATTACTATTATGCTGTTCTATACTATGAACTACGGTATATAGCATGATAGCTAT